TGGCACATATTTTCTCATCTTTTTCATCTATTTCTCCATTTCTTTTAGACCTCATCTCTTAGAAACATAAAGTTGGTAACTGCTAAAAACATCTCACTGTGTTTAGTATGTATCTAGTCATACAAAACAAGGCACTCAAATTGAGAAATCTGATACAAGGGGCTCTCTTTAAGAATGCAGGTGAATGTATCTTAGAAACTCTATTCAAACTTTTTTTTTAAGAGATTGAAATTCAGTATTTTCATAAAATACCGTAAAATCCTCCTTGAATTATTGAAATGCATGTGTAAAGGCATGGAAAGTGTCACTGCTCTATAAAGTGATTCAAACTAAATTCTGAATCTCATTATCTCATTGAAGAATACCTCAGTGAAGAATAAAATTCTCAAAATATAGATACAAACTCTATCTATCTATCTATTATCTATCTATCTATCTATCTCTATCTATCTGCCTATCTATCTATCTATTTGGCTACACCTATTTTATACTGGAGCATTGTATTTGAAAGCAGAATATGAGTCAATAGGTCTGTAGCCTCAAGCAAGTTATTTTGATTTTTCTGACCCTCAGTTTCTTCATCTACTGAAAGTTTAAAAATAAATCTTTCAGGTTAAAAAGAAAGACTAAAACTTCTGGGTGAAGTTAAAACATTTTAGAACTCTAAGATATTAGACTGCTTTTTACAAATTTCTACCCTTAAATAGTGTAAAATTCAGGTTGCATTTGCTAAGTGCATATAGTCTGTATTTTCAAATATAAAGTACACACGGGGTTTATTTGAATTACCTTTCAACCTACCATGAAATTCAAGTGTTTTTAAATGCGTATTTTTAAATGTTTCATATTTTGTCTTCTACATGCAGCAGTGACACAAAAAATGTCTGACCAGATGAACCACCAGGCAATGAGACTGACCCTTCTGCAGAAGACCATTGACAATATTTCCTTGGCTCTGAGTGATGTCAGAAACACGTACTCCTCCCTAGAGGGGAAAATCAGTGAAGATAAAGGCAGAGAATTCCAATCTTTTCTAAAAGGTAAAAGTAAAATAAATTATTCCTTCAGTTGAGACAAAATGACTTGTTTATCTCTTTTCACATCATTTTGGGATCTTTGCTTTAGACTGGGTGGGATAGATGTCGAAGGCAGATTTTTTTGCATAAGATACTTCTAAATCCCTCAATTTCTGAAATAATTAGAGAAATCTAAATATTTTTAATAATATAGTCAAATCTTAGAATATTTCATCTGACCTATTGACATTATGTACCTAGTTACAGCCTAGTTGTATTTCTTTGTAGTTAAAATGAGCTGTACTTAATCTGCTTCCTTTGCAGTTTCCATTTCAAGATAAAGATGAGGTTGAGGGATGATGATTAAGGCAGCTGGATCCATGGTTATCTCAATAATATTGATGAAGATATTAAGGATAAATATAAAGCCCAATATTATCCCAACAATTATCTGGCTCATGGAGTATAATCAATAAAATGTATTCTAAAGTGTATCAGATCATTAATAGAAAGGTGAATCAGTTTTGCCTGACTTTTGTGCTCTTGAAATAGCCGATGTGTTCTTTTCTGGATTATCCTCCAGATAATCCATTTCTTGCTAATTCAAGCTGTCAGAATTCATTTCCTTGCAGTTGTAGGACTGAGGTCCCATTTTTTTGAGTTCAGAAACTGTGGCTTGTTCCCAGCTTCTAGGGAGCACTGCATCTCTTGGCTCATGGCCTTCTTCCTCCATCTTCAAAAGCCAACAACAGCTGTTGAGTCCGCAGGGCAGCTCTCAGACCCACTCTTCTGCCTTCTTCTTCCTCTTTAAGGACTCAGATGATTACATTGGACCCATCTGGATAATCTAGGATAATCTCCTCAAGTCCTTAACTTTAATCACATCTGTCAAAGTCTTTGTGACATGTAAGGTAACATATTCACAGGTTCAGGGAATTAGGGTGTGAGCATCTTAGGTAGGGCAGCATTATTCTGCCTACCACGGAGATTTATATCTAGGGAGTAATTGTATTATTGTGCATAATACAATGGGATTGTTTGATCGTTTCAACAAATCCAGTCTAAGGAGATCAGGGAAGGCTTCTACAAAAAGAAACCATCTCAACTGATAAGAAATGAAGAGATCAGAGGAATTCAACAGGCAAAGAGGTTTCAGGTAGGGCATGGATATTCTAGACGAGTATTTTGGTTACCAGGAGCATCTCAATTCACTGGGTTTATTGTATGTTTCCAAGTATTAGGATTTCTGGTCCCTTTCACTTTGTTTTATACATTAAAAAATACTCACTGTACATGCCGTTTCTATCACTCATGAGTTTTTTTTCTTTTTCTTTTTTTAATGTGGTTCACAAGTAAGAGAGAGAAAAAGGTAGAAGTCAATCAAAAAATACATAAACCCAAGTAATACAACATAAAAAAGAAAAGGTGGGGGTTTCCATATCATCTACCAGTACAGAGCAATCATGATTTTTTTTTAAGTCATTTAAATTATTGGTGGTATTAACCAATCAAAAGAAAGACTCTGTCCTTGCCCATTTCTGGCATATTCCCTTTGGCTAAAACCTACCCATGGCAAGCATGAGAGAGGAATACATCTCCCCTGAAGTGATAGCACGAGGAAGAAGTCAAATAGAAGCAGCATGTAATTGACTATAACCATAGTAATAAAATTTGTTTAGTAAATTTGGTTATTGTAACCTGAGAGAATTAGACCTGTCAACAGCTTTTTGTGAACCTACTAACAAAATTTCAGGCACTGACACAGGAAAAAACATACTCATAGCAATGACAATGACAAAATTCCCTTTTCAATAGTAGGCATCAGTTTATGTACTGAGCACAATCAATTATGAGAACCAGAGGGCTTGTAGTTAATGAACATTCATACAGGAAACAAAAACTAAACTCACCCTCAAGGTGTTGCACTTTCCTAGCAAAACCACAATCCCTTCTTTTTCTCCACATCGAAGTGGAGAGACACTACTTTAATCTGCTAGCAGTCAGGGCAACTGTTCAAAATCAAAATCCCCAGTGCTGTAAGAGCCATCTGAACCTTTTGAATAGGTCACCTGCTCACAACCAGGGAAGGGGCATGCTGAGGTGTCTGATATCAGATATATCTGTTAAGTCACCAAATACATTATCAATTTTTTTAGGAAGTAAATGCACATGAGTCACATGAAACAGAATCAAATAGAGGTAAAATGTTGTGCTCATTCAGATACTGACATAAAGTACTTTGACATAATTTTGCAAAATCAGATTCTTACATAGATGTTTGTTTAGTAAAAAATTATAGAAATATTATCTGGAAAGTTTCTTATCCTGAAACAAAATTTTAACCCAGTAACCTATTTGATTCCTTTTCAGATTCTGCTGTGATTTTTACCCTTTGTCCAATGTATTCTTCCATTTAAGTTTTAAAGCTCTTAGGAGGTACAGCTAAAGTACCTCCTAATTTTTTATTTTTATTGTTTACTTTTTCCCTAATTATTTGATAAAGATTCTGTACTGAATTTTACCTTTTTACAGTGTTTTCATTCTTTTTTCCAACTTTTAGATCATGTAGTTTTTCCCTTGCTGACGTTAAAAACCTATTGTGATTGTCCACAACTAATTAATCAATTCAGTTACGCTTAAGTTTTATTTTACCTTGTCAATCTTGAAAAACATTTTAAAGCCAAAATTACTAGGCTATATATTCCAGGAAAGTCTAATTTCTAACCTTAAATATTTTATTGTGTTTCTTCCAGTTGTTGTTGTCATGAGATATAGACAATTTTAACTAACAGGAAATGATTAAATAATCCTGTAGGAAGTGCAATAAATGTAACTTCGCTATTGAATAGTGCCTTAAACTCAATGAAGCTGACATACTCTAAACATTAGAAATCTAATTTTCCAAATTTCATTTTCTGTGTAGCATCTAGAATATACTCAATGAATATTTCCTGTATAAATGAGTGATGTGTTAAAGGCTAAGTTAATTTTAGAAAATAGAAATACGTTAAAACCTTTCTTGGTGTGATTATTCATGTTAGTAAATGCAAACCGTTTCAGTGTAATTGGTCTTAATGGTAGCTGCTTAATCTTTCCTAATTTGGCCTTTCCTTAGTACTTTGGTGCTGTGTGTCATTGATTACTATTTCACATTTCACGTGCTTTTATTATTTTTCCTATTATAGACAAGTTGATTTTTACTTACTTACAGTTTCTAGACTTTTAAGTTTCTTTCAGTGTCCACTAGGTTTAGAAATGTAAAATAAATTTTTGTACTCTGGAAATCCTGTTATCAATTAACAACATTTATCTTTAGGGTCGAGGATTCCTAGGGAAATATTTATCCATTCACAACTTTGTCTTTGTACAAATGTAATATAAGAAAGCTCACGCAATACATTATTCTATTTGGTATAATTTCTCTTTCACGATCCGTATTATGTAGGTCTCTCTTGCAACTTCTGAAAACTTGTGTACAAAACAGAGACACATAGAGACTATATATTTTTACTCTTTAATCATCTTTCTTGAATAGGCTTCATGGTTGCCATAACTCATTTCACAGCACCCTATTGTGCAGACTTTCCTGTTTAAAATGCTTGTATTATGTTGCCAATATTTTATATTATCGGCATTGGCTACATGTTGGATTTGAGTGGACAGACCTTCCATTTGTATCTGCTTCATCCCTATGTACTATCAATATTCCTCAAACATGTTTTATTTTTTCCATTTTTCTGGTGTCTTATGTACAGGGTGTTTTTACATGTTTAAATCATCATTTCCCATTCTAAATGATTGTAAATAGTTCAAGATCCTTTTTCTTTTCCTTTTCTTTTTAAATACTACTTTTAGAGCTGTCCGAAATTCTGGCTCATGATCAATCTATTCTTTCTAATATGGGGATACTAGTATATACTTTATTAGTGGCAGGTTTTCTCTCCTCTTTTGTTAAGAATTAATGTCCTATTATGATAATCGAGGTATATCTTAAATTCCTATTTTCATTTGACTTAGTGTTGTGATGCCCAAACCTCTCATTATTTTTATTTTATTGTTATTATAAACTATTGTTGAATTTTATTATCATTACTTCATATTGTTCCTTATTTGGGAATCTCATTAAATTTCTTCTCTGAAGTCAATTTATTCATTTTTTAAACATTTTTTTATTGACAATTTATTCATTTTTATGAGCTCAAAACACAAGCTCTGAAAAATCTAATTACAGTTGACCCTTGATCAACATAGGTTTGAATCTCCTGGGTCCACTTATTGGCAGACTATTTTTCTATGGTAAATACTACAGTACTATGGGGTCCACAGTTGGGAGTTGAATCTGAGGGTGTGGAACTCTGGATTCAGAGAAACCCTGGATATGACAGAGGACCAACTATAAATTATATGCAGCTTTTTGGCTATACAGAAAGTTGGCACCCCAACCCCTGCATTGTTCATGGGTCAGCTTTATAAGAAAACTGATTAACCTCATGAGCTAACACCATGTTTTATTTTCTAAGGCAGAAAGCCCAAAGCCATTTATTTTCATACAAGACTAAGACTGGACCTAGAATCATTGCATACAAAAATACGCTAACTGAAGTCATAGTAGTTCTTCTATGTCTTTTGTCTAGAGCACCTTAGTTTTATGGTTCTAGTGTGTGTAACACTGCAGCTGACTTCTTCCCTCAGACATATCAATTAAGAAGGTGATCACCTTCTATGAACTACAGTAATTTTTTTTAAATTATTGAAGTATGGTCAGTTACATGTCAATTTCTGGTGTACAGCATAATGTCCCAGTCATACATATACAAACATATATTTGTTTCATATTCTTTTTGATTATAGGATACTACAAGATATTGAATACAGTTCCCTGTGCTATACAGAAGAAATTTGGTTTTTTTAATCTATTTTATATAGTTAATATTTGCAAATCTCACACTCCCAATTTATCCCTTCCCAACCTCTTTTCTCCCCAGTAACCATAAGTTTGTTTACTATGTCTGTGAGTCTGTTTCTGTTCTATAGATAAGTTCATTACTGTATTCTTTTTTCTTTAGATTCCACATAAGAGTGATATTGTATGATATTTTTCTTTCTGGCTTACTTCACTTAGAATGACATTCTCCAGGTCCATCCATGTTGCTGAAAATGGCATTATTTTATTCTTTTTTATGGTTGAGTAGTATTCTATTATGTAAACATACCACAGCTTCTTTATCCAGTCCTCTGTCAATGGACATTTAGGTTGTTTCCAGGTCTTAGCTATTGTATATAGTGCTGCTAAGAATATTAGGGTGCATGTATCTTTTGGCATTAGAGTTGCCTGTGGATATATATCCAGGAGTGGTATTGCTGGATCATATGGTAAGTCTATTTTTAGTTTTTTGAGGAATTTCATATCTATTTTCCATAATGGCTTCACCAAACTACATTCCCAACGGCAGTGTAGGAGGGTTCCCTTTACTCCACACCCTCTTCAGCATTTATCATTTGTGGACTTTTTAATCATGGCCATCTTGACTGGTGTGAGGTAATACCCCATTGCAGTTTTGATTTGCAGTTCTCCAATAATTAGCAATATTGAGCATTTTTTTCATGTGCCTATTGGCCACTTGTATGTCTTCATTGGGGGATTGCTTTTTTAGGTCTTCTGCCTATTTGGGGTTTGTTGTTGTTGTTAAGTTTTATGAGCTGTTTATATATTCTGGAAATTAAGCCTCTGTCAGTCACATCATTTGCAATTACTTTCACCCATTCCATAGGTTGTCATTTTGTTTTGCTTACAATTTCCTTTGCTGTGCAAAAGCTTACAAGTTTAGTTAGGTCCCATTTGTTTATTCTTGCTTTTATTTCTATTGCCTGAGTAGACAGCCCTAGGAGAATATTACTAAGATTTATGTCAGAAAATGTTTTGCCTATGTTTTCTTCTGAGAGTCTTGTCTTATATTTAAGTTTTTAAGCCATTTTAAGTTTATTTTTGTGAGGGACTATGGTGTGAAGGACTATTCGAACTTCATTGATTTACTTGTGGCTGTCCAGTTTTCCCAGCATCACTTGATGAAGAGATTGTCTTTTCTCCATTGTATATTCTTGCCTCCTTTGTCAAAGATTAATTGACTGTAAGTCTGTGGGTTTATTTCTGAGCTCTCTATTCTGTTCCATTGATCCATGTGGCTGTTTTTGTACCAATATCATGCAGTTTTGATTATTGTAGCTCTGTAGTATTGTCTGAAGTCTGGGGGTGTTTTTCTTCCAGCTTTGTTCTTTTTCTTCAGTATTGCTTTGGCAATTCTGGGCCTTTTATGATTTCAGATAAATTTTAGGATTATTTATTCTAGTTTTGTGAAAAGTGTCCAGGTTAGTTTGATAGAAATCGCATTAAATCTGTAGATTGCTTTGGGTAGTATGGCCATTTTAACAATATTAATTCTACCAATCCAGGAACATGGGATATCTTTCCATTTCTTTAAGTTATCTTTAATTTCCTTAATCAATGTTTTGTAGTTCTCCATGTATAAGTCTTTCACTTCCTTGGTCAGATTTACACCTAAGTAGTTTATTTTTCTGGATGCAATTTTAAAGAGGATTGTTTCTTTACTTTCTTTTTCTAATATTTCATTGTAAGTGTAAAAAAATACAACTGATTTCTGTATGTTAATCTTGTATCCTGCTACCTTGCCAAATTCTGTTATCAGCTCTAGCAGTTTTTGTGTGGAGCTGACCTCCGTGCTGGAGAGGGGGTGTCACAGCGTGAAGGCGTTTCCTCCGTTGCTGTTCTTTCCTCAAGGGATGGGTCCTGCACCAATTTCCTTTTTCTTTTTATTTTTTCCCCCTACTGGATTTTATGAGAAATCTTCTTGTATTTCAAAGTAAGAGATATTCTGCCAAAGTTCAGTAGGTGTTCTGTGCAATTTGATGGGTCTGTAGATGTAATTTTCAGTGTATTTGTGGGAGGGGATAAGCTATGTGTCCTTATACTCCACCATCTTGGCACTCCCCCCTGGACTACAGTAATTTTAAAAAATTCTTAAGTAAATATAGTGAGGAAGTATTTTTATTATTTTATGATGTTAGTGTTTAGTCTCGAACGTTTATATTTTTAAAGATATCTAAAGTTCACATAATTGAAATCATGTGTCACTTATTGTTGTTTACCCTTTCTTTCTCCAGGTCTAAAATCCAAAAGCATTACTGATCTGGTAAAGGACATAGTAAGAGAACAATTTAAAATTTTTCAAAATGACATGCAGGAGACCATAGCACAGCTCTTCAAGACAGTATCAACTCTATCAGAGGAGCTTGAAGACACCAGACAAATAATTCAACAAGTTAATGAATCTGTGGTTTCAATAGCAGTCCAGCAAAAGTCTGTTTTAATACAAGAAAATAGGCCCACTTCAACCGATATATTGGAGCTAAAAAATCACATTGTGAATATGAGACAAGAAATGACATTCACATGTGGAAAGCCTATTAAAGAGCTAGAAGCGAAGCAGACTCACTTGGAAGGTGCCTTAGAACAGGAACACTCCAGGAGTGTTTTGTATTATGAATCCCTCAACAAGACTCTTTCTAAAATGAAGGAAATACAGGAGCATCTTTTATCAACTGAGCAACTCCCCAGTCAGAAGAGTGTTCCAGCTGCTGAATCAGTTAGTGATAATGTCACTGAGTACCTGTCTACTCTACATGAGAAGATAAAGAAGCAGGGTTCAGTGATGCTGCAGATGTTTGGTGATTTGCACATGCAAGAGAGCAAGATTAACAATCTCACCCTTGCTTTGGAAATGGAGAAAGAATCTGTCAGGAGTGAATGTGAAGACATGTTATCCAAGTGCAGAAATGATTTTAAATTTCAAATTGAGGACGTAGAAGAGAATTTACAAATTTTAAACCAAACGTTGGCTGAGGTTCTCTTTCCAATGGACAATAAGATGGATAAAATGAATGAGCAACTAAATGATCTGACTTATGATATGGAGATTCTTCAACCCTTGCTCGAGCAGGGAGCATCATTTCAAGAGACAATGACATACAGACAACCAAAAGAAGCAGCAGCGATGAAGAAAAAAGTGGAAAATCTGACTAGTGCTGTCAACAGTCTAAATTTTCTCATCAAAGAACTTACAAAAAGATACAACTTACTTAGAAATGAAGTACAGAGTCGTGGTGATGCCTTAGACAGACGTATCAATGAACAAGCCTTAGAAATGGAAGATGGTCTGAATAAGACAGTAACTATTATAAATAATGCCATTGATTTCATTGAAGACAACTACATGTTAAAAGAGACTTCAAATACAATAAAGTATAATCCTGAGGTCCATCATAAATGTACCCAGAATATGGAAACTATTTTGACATTTATTTCTCAGTTTCAACATTTGAATAATTCTATTCAGATTTTGGTCAATGACAATCAGAAATATAACTTTGTCCTGCAAGTTGCCAAAGCCCTTGCATATATATCTAAAGATGAAAAACTGAGTCTGTCCAATTTTGAAAATATTTACCAAATGTTGAATGAGACCAGTTCCCAAGTGATAAGATACCAGCAAAACATGAGTCATTTGGAGGAAAAAATACTTTCAGCCACAAAGATTTCCAAAAATTTTGAAACTCGGTTGCAAGGCATTGAGTCCAAAGTGACCAAGACGCTCATACCTTATTATGTTTCACTAAAAAAAGGCAGTGTGGTGACAAATGAAAGAGATCAGGCCCTTCAACAGCAGGTACTCAGTTCCAGATTTAAAGCACTGGAAGCAAAATCCATCCATCTTTCGACTAATTTCTCTGTACTTAACAAAACTCTCTATGAAGCTTTAGTGATGTGTTATAATGCTTCTACAGGTGTATCAGAACTGAATGCTACCATATCTAAGAGGATAAAAGGTTCCCTACCAGATACTCAACTTCTTCAGAAAGGTCTGACAGAATTTGTGGAATCAGTAATTGAAATAAAAATGCAAATTGTGCTATCTAATTTAACTCGGCATATAAATCAGTCATTGTCTGGTAGTCTTGCAAACCTTGTCAAGTCACAGGAGCGAATAAAACCATTGCTGAAGAAACCCAATACACTTAAGAAACCAGCAGTGAATCTTACCGCTGCCCTGATAGGCCGGACCCAAAGAAACACAGACAACGTTCTACTTCCTGGTAAGCTATTTCCAAAAAATAACTTTTAATCTCTTTTCATATTTAAATGGTATTTAGTAGATCTGTATGGTTTAGCAAGATCATATGGTCTAAAAGGCGCTTACTGGAACTTGGGTAAATTGTTAAGTAACTCAAAGGTCACTGATATATTATCTGAATCTGGTTTCATCTATGTAAATCAGGCATCAATACAAAACACATGTTTATAAATATTTCTCTACATGTTATTTAACTTTTTTCTGACAAGACCCTATAAAACAATCAAATTTGCCCTTTGCTCTTATAAAACATTTTTTTGCATACATAATTAAAGGAAGCTATTAGGCAATGTGCTTTTTGATAAATAAGACCAGATTGTGTCCTGCTCATTTTGGTGTTACCTGGCAAAGTGTCTGGTACACAAGAGAAACTCTATAAATATCTGTGGAATGACTGTCTAACTGAATGAATGCATAGTGAGCAGGAATTCAAACAGGGCAAATCACAGAGGACCTTGAATGCCAAGATAAGTATCTTAGTCCCTTTGGGCTGTTGTAACAAAATACACAGATTGGGTAGCTTAAAACAGAAATTTATTTCTTGATGTTTTGGAGGCTGGGAAGTTCAAAATCAGGGTGCCAGCACGGTCACATTGGGTGAGGGTCCCCTTACTGGTTCACTGCTCACTCTGTCCCCATGTGGTGAAAGGGGTGAAGGGGCTCTGTGGGGTCCCTTTTATAAGACATTAATCCCATTCATGAGGGCTCCACCCTCATGACATAAGCACCTCCAAAGTCCCCACCTCCTAAAATTATCAGCTTTAGAGGTTAGGATTCCAACATAGGAATTTTGAGGAGACGCCTACAAGGCATTTAGACATGATTCTGTAAAGAGTGGTCTTTGAACATTTCCAGGAGAGGGTTGGGTGTGACGAGAACTGTGTCTCAGAAGCATGAAGCTAGACAGTGGTGCGTAGCATGACTACAAGAAATGCAATTAGAGACGCCAATCAGGACATTATCAGCAAGATCAGGCGGTGAGAGCTAGATCTAAGGAAGAGGTAGCTGAAACGGAGGAGACAGATATGAGTAAAGTCATGAAAGTAAAACCAACAGAAACAGAAAGACTGTGGGAAAGTTAATGATCTGAGGAACAGCAAATCATGATTCTGACCCTAGTTGTTTCAGTAAGTTTCTGTGTAGCCTTGAGTAAGTTCACCTCTCTGGGTCTCAGCTTCTTTTTATGATTGGATTGCAATAGGCATTTTGCTGAGCTCATTAGCAGAATTATGTTGCAAACTGAACCACTGTAAAAAAAAAAAGAAAGAAAGAAAAAATGTGAGCTGTTCACAGCCTGAATGCACAGCACTGGGGAGGGGAGAGACCTAAAATATTCTGTGGTTTTTTTTTGCATTTGGGAAATGAGAGGTTAGGAGTACCACTGGCAGATGTTGTAAACACCAAAGGAGAAGTGTAAATTTGGCAGCAGAGAGGAATTTAATGCAGTGCATATAAACCACTTAATAGTCTCTCTGTATTAAAGAAGTGTTTTATTAATATGTTTGGCATATGAGTGATATTAAATAATCTTTCCACTATAAAATAGCTCCTGGTTCTTACTAAAAGAGATGCCAGTGTTCCTTTCATATGAGTCTGCTGTTAAATTATATAATCATTTGGATGAAATTTGTATTTTATTGCTTTTTAATTAAAAAGGATAATCATTATCCTAACATAATATGACTCTTCATATTTAATCTCTGAATGTTCTGATAATATTAAAAATCACAGAGTAATACAATGTTGAATTGTCTCTTGACTATTTAAACTATTGTATTTATTTATGACTCCCTCTAAATTAATCTGATCCAGGAGGACTAATCTTGCCCTGTGGGATCACAGAACAAACTATTTAGACGCACGTGTTTCCAAGAGAAAGAGTGGTATTTCAGTACAAGATGTTCTTACAATAATACTTTTAGGAAAAATAGAGTTGTTCTTCTTCCATACTGTTTTAATCCTTGGTCCTCTTGTGGACACAGCAAATGAGTTTCAGTTAAGCTCTACAGGATGTGTTCTCATGCAATAGGCAAACCATGTCATTTTTTTTCACCAAGAAATACCTGTATCTCTACAGTAAGTGTAAATTTAAATACCTTCAAAATTAATTGAGTTAAAAGATTCAATAGAATGTAAGAACTAATAAACTGTTATAGGATAAAGAATGCATGTTAGGCACTTATAAAAATTGCATGTAGATTTTTTTATATAACAGTTGGCTCAGTATTGGACTTAATGGGCTAATAATTAACTCAGTTCTGATTCTCTTTTTTTCCAATGATGCCTTGATAAAATTGCTTCCTGTTCCTTTATTTACTGTAAGTAGAATTTTTCTAGGCCTAAAGTTAATAATTAATTAAAAGTTCTTTATTTTATCTTTGTCAAGTAACCAATAACAACATTAAGGCCATAAGGATACATTGGCCTAATTTCCTATGTGGGGTAGATATTCACTTTGTGCAGGAGCAGCAACATAATGTGTGGGGCACTTTCAAGAGGATACATAGATACTCACGCTCATTAAGCCAGCTTAGCTTCTGTGGTCATAAAACTGATGGCATTCATTGGACAGCTGAGCAGGTAAAGTCTATACAAAGCAATGAAACCAGCGGACTCAGGCTAAACTCGTCTATAAGAAGAAACCAATTGCAAACTACTTCCTTTAATACTCTTAAAAAAAATTTAATGTCTAGTTTTTTCTTCCTTTCTTTATAACATCACTTTATTTTTAATTTACTATTCCTGTTTTTTTGGTGGGGGGAGGTAATTAGGTTTGTTTGTTTGTTTGTTTATTTATTTTTAATGGAGGTACTAGGGATTGAACCCAGGACCTTGTGCATGCTAGGCACTAATTCTGCCACTGAACTCTACTCTCCCTCCCTTTTATACTCTTTGATACCAGGGGGGAGACACACTGCCATACTGGTTAAATTTGGCTTTTGGTTTCCATTGACCTTTGCTATGATATTATAAATACCATCTAGCCACATTGCTCCCCTACCTCACGAACACCAGAAGATAATTTATCATCATTCTACAAATCTCACAGTAATATTCAGGTGATACCCACTATCATTTGCTGAATACGGGCAGTTTAGAGAAAGAAAAACCATGTAAAGATAGATTTAAAAGTTTAATCTTAATTTTAATAACTGATAACCTATTTTGAAGCCTACTACTACTACTACTATAATAATATACTGCTAGATACCATTTATTAACACTATACCCCAGGCACTGCACAAATTATACTGCATATGCAATTCTCTTAATACCTATGAGATCACTATCATTATTCTTATACTGAAGATGTGTAAACTAAACCTTGAAGAGATAAACTAAGATATGCTGCCTGAGGTCATGCAACATGCAAGTGATGGAGGCTGACTCCTGGTCTGTTGAACTCAGGGCTCAGCTCATCCGCTGCACTCAAGTAGACTGTGAAGTGCGTTCACCTGCTTTTCTCTTCCTTCTTCTTGTGTTCCCTGCATCATAACAATCTCAGAGTCTGGCCATCTGCAAATACTCCACATGGCCAGAGCTGATATTCCCAGGGAGTTTGCTTTCTTGAGGATCCAAATTCTGCCACTTGTTTCTGCACTGATCAGAAGGATGTAAAGCTGCTATTTTTCAGTTTAGCTTTTCTGTGATACGGCCAGTGGTCAGGTGTCATTGAAAGTCACCAGTGGTTATTCATGAGATCTTCAAGCTGATGCAGTAGGAGGTAAAATTCAGAATCCTCATTCCTTTCAGTTTCTTCAGAGCCATTCCCACATCCAGTTATGCTAATTACTATTCTTCCTAGGCCAATGGGACAAAACGTTCCGATTGAATCACAAATTATTTGATTTGTTTCTAAACAATAGTCCAATAGACACCAAGAGGGTTTTATTTCATCTTTGAAGATTTGTTTGTACAGCAATTGGCAGATTTGTCCCTGTAGAGAAAGTTTGGCTGCTTGCCTTCCAAGAGGAGATGGATCTTCTTCTAATAGTGTCAGCAGCAGCTTTGCCGAGGATGTGCACCTCCTGCGTGTGAGGCTGTTGACTTTTTATTTTAACCATTTCTCTAGTATTTACGAGATATACTTAGCTCTCTTTAATAAATCTCTTTTACTTACAACTATCACTTTAACTACTCTTCATAAGAAAATTACATTCTGTAAAGGGTTTGGTAGCATACCAAACACATCTTTTTAAATTATCATTGCTGTGAATTTAAACAGTTTTAAAGAGAAAAATAAGAACTTAGTGGATACTTAGCTGGTTTATACCACTTTAAACCATTTCTAAGTTTTGTGAATCCGCATAGAGGCTGCTGTGATTATTAAGAAGGACTGGATTTGAAACCAGGTGAACAAGGTTTAAGTCCTGTCTACCAAAGTATTTATTTGTAATAAGTTGTTTATTTTTCTAAAACATACTGTCCACATTTATAAAACAAGAATAACATATCCACCTTACAAAGTTTATTTTGAGGATCAAATAAATAACTTGCATACAGTATATTATTAAGGTAGATGTTATTATATAATTTTCTTAGCTATATTCAATGTTTGTATTTTATTTTCTATAACATTTTCAATTAATAGCTGATATCTATTTCGGTGTATCAACATAATTTAAATGCTCATATTATTCTATTGTTCTATCTTTGCTTTGTTTTAGACTCAACACATGTTCCTAAATGAGCTTATGCTTATCACAAAATGCTAAATCAAAAATGACAGGATAAAAAATATAAAGGCTTAATATACAAATGCATGTGTATTGACAAGCACTAAAAAAATCTGCAAAAAGTTTTAATAAGAGTTTTTTTCAAATTATCATACTAAGTGAAGTACATGAGAGAAAGATAAATATATCACTTATGTGGAATCTAAAAAAATGCTACAAATGAACTTATTTCCAAAACAGAAACAGACTCACACTGCTATAACAAAGTACCATAGATAAGGCGGCC